CAGGAACGGGAATAAATGGTGGTCTGGTTTGCTATTTATTATCGTATCTGAAATCTGAGCTTGGAGGAGTTAATTTTGAATCAGTGGAAGAGGTCAAACAAGCCGTCCACTCTTTCATCCGCGGTCAGCTGAAAGACTTCCACGCACGAGGCATCCAAAAGCTGTTCTCTTAGTCTTAGTCTCAGTATCAGACTTGCTTGGATCGAGCTGGTTATGTGGAGAAGTGAGGTAAGCCCCTTATTCTACAAAAATTTCTTTGATTTTTCGTCAGTGATGAACGACTAAGGCTTTGGCAGAGAAGCTCTTCTTCTGTAGCGGACTTCAAATCCTCGCGGATTCGGCGGGAGCGTCGAGCACCTCGGCGCGTTCAAACGGCTCGCGTTCGGCCGCACATGGTCCGATTTTGTTGCGGTTTGTTTCGTTGAACTCAAAATATCCTAAGGAAGATTTTGAGCCCAAGTTTTTTAAAATTGGTCCATTCTTATGGATTTTAGAGAGGGGGGGATACTTACTTATTGAACGCCCCTCGTATTTTGACAAGCGCATTAATTAAATTTTGATAGTCATGTTAAGTAAATTTTCCTTTTGGCAAGCGCGTCAATTAAATTTTGGTCCATATGTATTTTGTCAATTATTACCAAATTTTGTTTTGTAGTTAATAAGTCTATTTTGTGTGTTGCGATTGGGGGGGTGTGTTAAAGTTTCTCAGTCAATCCCAACACAATCCTATGTTGCTACCTAGCGGTGCTTTACCGAACTACTTTTCTTTCTAGAATGTTCTCTTGTCGTTGTTGAATCGTCGCCATTGCTAAGTCAATATAAGTCATGTTCGCCTTTATAAGATTACTTTTTCTCTCAATAAAAGTTTATCAACTCTAAATCGAGTTGTGTTATTTCGAAAGTTTAATAAGAAGAAGATATATTAAGAGGAAAACAAATATAATTAGAGAAAAAAAGAATATTATTTTGGTGTGTATTGTTTATTTTCATAATTATTATAAACTGGGGGTACTGGCTTCAAGCCGCTGCGCGCCCCCAAAGCATCAAAATTACCTGTTGGCGGTTAATGAGCGAATCATTTTAATTGAAAAGGTAACAAAACTATGTATCAAAGAAAAATTTTCCGCAAAACAATATTCTTAATGACCTTCTTCTTACTCGGAATTTTCGGAATTCGACCATGACGGGACCCCATATAACTGTTAATAACTAAAAAAAGGCCTTTGAAAGTAAAGACCCCTATTAAAACTCTGACCTTGGAACTCCCCTTCCTCTCTTCTGCCCACCGACCGTCTTACTCCCCTTCCTTACCCCGTCCAGCGAGCATCTTAAAAATGATTTTAATAGAATAGAGAGGATATTACAGGCATAAAATTTGGGTTTGTCCTTCATTTTAAATACCAAGCTATCAGCAGAACATGTCTATGATGTGCCTTTTTAGCAGTGATCAGACTAAAATCATTTAACTAGGACATACTTTCCAAATTTTCCTTGTTGCTAAAAAAGCGCTTGAGACCTATTGAATATTTTCCTTGTTGCTTAAAAGCCTTGCCTTGTTGTTGTAAAAAAGCGTTTGAAACCTATTGAACAGCAAATAGCTGAGCAGAGAGATGATGAGATTATGACGATGAGTTTATTTAATTAAAATCTGATTACATAGGAACCTGAACTTTTTAGAAACGATCATACATTTACACTATTCAGACATTGCATTAATTTGCTGCTCTTCTTTCAATATCCTTCGCTCAAGTGAAAAATCATAATTGTAATCTTGCCTTTTATCGGTCTCCAGAATGGATAGGAGCAAAGAACTGAAGTTTCGAAAATCACTATCCAATGATCCTAAATTAACACTTTCCAAGTCAACCACTAGTGTCACTGGTACAGACTGCAAAGGGTCACCGTTCTCACCTTTTGCTTTCAGGGGGCGAATGTCAATATCTGATGTTACCTCTACACCTTCAGGAACTAACACATACGGTAGAGAGATTTTGGAAGTATCATCTTCGGGGTTTAAGCTTGGATACAGATTGGGCCTTATATAGGGAGTTTCTGGAGGTGTGGTCTCATTGTATGAATTGTCTTCTTTGTTTTTTTGTTCTTTCCGTCCAAAAAGACCTGAAATGAAGAGTGAACATCTGTTAGAGAAATTGATAAAGCAAGTATAAAAAATGCAATATATTTGTCTCTTAGAATTCAATTCCTACTTGTTAAGTGGAAAATAGTTGAACAAGTTGGTTGTGAAAAATGATGTCATTTACCCTCCCAAAGGTGACAGAATTTCAACAATTCTATGTGAAAAACAAACAGTAACAATTTTTTTTACGTAGTATCAAAAGCAGAAGAAAAGTCCTTTGCAACCACTAAAGATGCAAAGAGGCTGTCCCATTTTCCATAGGAAATGGCCGCAAGAGATTTAAATCCATACTTTCAGAATCATAACAGATCATTTGAGAGGCCTAAATCCGGTGACCTTCCTCGTCTAGCCCTCCAGGGGGCGAGGGGGGGGGGGGGGTCGAACGTCAAACGCACCGACCGCCATGACTTTTAAACGAAAAAACGGATCAACTTGATCTTGAATTCAAATGAAAGCTCTTGACGAGACCTCTCATTTTATATATGATACTTGGATAATTTTTTATATGAAGTAAAATCATTATTTAATCTTCAAGCCCAAAAGGTTCAGTTTTTTGGGTATTGCTATGATGAGGAACGCTGGAATCATTACAAACACCAATTTAAATGAAAGCCCTTGATTCAAGCTTTAAAACGAGCTATCGTTCAGCTTGGGGAAACAAATGGTTCAAAAGTTATGACCCTTCAAAGTTAGCGTGGCGCGATATTTTGGAAGCGCACGGAATGTACGAGGAGTATTCGTACAGTAAGTTAATATTTGTCATATCTTCTAAATTAATAAAGATAATTTAAATCTGTAAAAAGTTTGTGAATTTTCATACTCTCAGCTTTCTAAGAAGCTTGTTTTTTATAAAGGAGTGTCGTTTTTAGTACGGTGTGTACGATCAAAATCAACGATTTTTTGATTGGAAATTGCCACTTCGGGAGGTCATACTAGATGAAAAATAAAAGTTTTTGTCCGTAGAACCACATTCAAATCCGTGCAGGATCCAAGATGGCGGCCAAGCGCTTTTTTGAAGTGCTATATCTCTGTTGCTAACTATCCGATTTTGATTTTCTTTTTTCTAAGTGAGAGCTAAAAGGGCCTGAAATATGAATAAATTATAACAGATTCAACTCGGCCAACAATTTGTCCAAAATTTTACAAAAAATTTTTTCCTCGAAAATTCCTAAAATGTCAAAGCAAAATAACATTTAACTGAGCCGGAAAATTGATATTTTCTCCTCAGTGAAAGAGATGGGTCTTAATCTCGCGTTTAATTTGATACCAAAACCATTTTTGTGCTACGAGTGGTTATCCCGCGAGAGCCATTTAAGTGTCGCGCGATCGGCCGCGGCGCGCGATTTCCACCCCGCGTTCATGGCCACGGGCGCGCTTCATACGTGTAAAACGCGCTGTATCTCTCCAACCATTCGTTCGATTTTCAAACTTTTGGTCTCGTTTGAAAGCTACTATAAAGACCTTTTCAAACAATGCGCATTTTTACATTTACCTTTAAATAAAGAACCGAAAAGACCGAAAGAATTTAAACTGATCCGTGAGCAACCGCGCCGAGCAATGACGGATGTTGAGTTGAGGATCGCTGCGATAAAACAATTACGAATCCCGCATTTCCGCGGTGTGTTCATGATCGATGAATTGGCGACCAA